CACGCCTTAAAAATGAATAATTATTTATAGTTATATGGAAAAGCTCGCCTATCAGTCTCTAAACAGTCCAAATTAAATATTTTTGGGAAAACTGCAATCAAATGTCTCACCGGTCGAATTAACACCTTAAAAATAACAAATCTTGTCGAGTTATGAAATATATATAACCAAACTTATACGCTACCTCGACGCACATCTTAAATTAAATAGGAAACTGTTGAACCTGTGACAATATTTCACAAAAAGTTCCAGTCCAATTTCCTCCAAGACTCACAATGTTTATGTTTTTCTTTGCGCTCCAATGCATTTTAATTTTCCGAGAAAAAAGGACAGGAAAAATGTTTCGTTTGAAAACAGTGTAAAATGTGCATGTTATTTCAGTTGTTGTTGCTATTGTTTATTTTATTTTTTTTTTGTCAAATTTATTGCCAGATATTAGTGGGCGGGCGTTTAGGATGGTATGCTGAGTACGTTTGTTTGTTATTAATAAATATCGCCACTTGGTTGAAAAAACACATGCAAAAAAAGAAAAATTAACCTTTAATTATTTTTAGCCTTATACTTCTAATAATAACTTTCCCCTTTTCTTTATTTATCTTTCTCTAATTTTCTTAGCAACGTCACTCACAGCCTGAATTTGAAACGAATCATTTGCATTCGGAACCAGCAAAACGTCACAGTACCTCCTCGCGACCGCTATCCGAAGCGAACTCTGAGTTGAGTTGTGAATTGTTAACAACAAATCAAACAAGCAAATCGAATATTGAACTATCCACCTTTAATGGATCTAATAACAATAATAGCAATGCTAATACAGACAGTAACACTGCCAAACGACCGGAGAGTCTCAACTCAACTGATGCGAACAGCAGCAGCCAGCAATTAAGGGGAGATCAATCGCCAAAAGAGGGAGGCAGCAGTAGTGAACGTAAACGTTCTGCTTTACCCAAACATCAGAGACCCCTAACAAGATATCTGCCAATATTTTCACCAGATTTAGATTTGCGGCAACATATCGAATCTGCGGGTCATCAAATCGACTTGTGTCCACACGTCTTTGTTGATTCTCACACGTGTAGGGGGTAAGTTAAACATCAGCAAATTATTTAAAAGTTTATTTATTAATTTTTTTTCTAATTTACCAGTTACCTTCATAAATTGGGTGCCACTTTTCATGGCTGGTCGAAACGTTGGTTTGTTTTAGATCGCACGCGTAATGCTTTTATTTACTATTCCGATAAATTGGAGAGGAAACCTCGTGGAGGTGCTTATTTTTCGGTAAGTTCTTCAGAAGACATAAAACCTTTAATAAATTTTCTGTATTACAAATGACCTTCAAAATAGCTTCTAATTAAAAGTAGGAATTATTCATAGGGCTTCCAAAGGATTGAACACCCGTTAAAGACTCTGAAGTGCCCTCTTTATAGACAAGTGAGAGGTTTTGATTAAGGATTTAAGTTCACCTATAGAATAGAAGAATGGCTTCTCTGAAAAAAATGTCTTCTAGTCTTTGGAAGTCCTTTCAAAGGCATTATCGTCTATAAAAACTGCAAAAGGCTTCTTCTATTGCATAAAAGCCTTTTTAAGGGTATTTCTTTCTACAGAAGTTGTCTTACAAGTATTTTATTCTATGGAAGCCCTCTAAGGGTTTTTATAGGATCATAGACCCATAGAGTGCTGCTATAGAATAGAAGATCCTCTTGATGGAAAATAAAAGAGTAGTCAAGTATAAAGTAGTTTTTGGATTGGATGGATAGGGTGCTACCGTGGCAGTCTTTCAAAACATCATATGTTGAATAAAACTTGGAGTGTCGGGAAGGACCTACACGATATGGAAACGGAAATCCAATTTTATAAGAGAAAGCCTCTGGATCAAATAGCCTTTTAGGCAGATCTGAGTAACATTTACATTCTCGCAGTACCGTCAGGCACACAAAACCTACCCAACTCACTCCTGAAGGTGTTTGGTTAGAACTTGTTAAAGTAGTTTAGTTTTCAATTTTGAATTAGAACCAGACAAGCAAAAAGTAACGCGACTCAACACATATGGCCGTTACAGCAACAACATCCCTTAAGAGGACTTCCGTAGAACAGAAGGTCCCTTAGGCGGTTTCATAGAGTAGCATACCCTTACGGGGTTTTCTTTAGTGTAGGATACCAGGCTAGAAGGCTTCTCTAAATGACAATACATATCAAAAGGTCTCTATAACACTATGTAACACAACCAATATTTTTTCAAAGAAATCCAATAGGTTTTGAAAGTATAACTAAAAGTAGAAAACGCAGCGTTTTGAAATCGATGGGAAAATATGGCCAAGACCCTCGCAATAACTAAAATCAGTTGGTATCTTTATCTATTGCCTAAGACACTATATGCCTACATTGCACGAATCCAAAGGAATCTTAATCCGAATATTTCCATAAATGTGGAAGAGGAGGGAACTTAGGTTATTTTGCAATTAAATCTTTGAAAACACCGAATCTCTTAAAGCCTCTTTAATTTGGTAAAATCTAGATTTAGAATATTCACATTGTTTTTATGCTTTATATTGTTTTCCTTTGTTAAAACAATTTATCAATTTATTCTTCCCGTTTTCTTTTTCGCTCCAGACCATCGAAGAAGTCTATTTGGATCATTTAAATATCTCAAAGAGTGGCCGACCCCACTGCACATTCATTGTTAAAACTAAAAAACGCAGCTATCAACTACTGGCAGCCTCAGATGCTGCGGCTAGAATATGGATTGATGCCATAATAACTGGAGCTCAAGGCAAATTAGACTATTAGTAGTTTTATCCTTAATGTTAGCTATTAAGTTATTTTTTAAGCATCATTTAAAAAAATGTTCTACCAAAGGAGATGGTTCATATGGATCATTATGAAAGCATAGATTTTAGATTAATATATTTTTTATATTTGTATTTTACATCCGTAGATGTATACAACCAAGGTTTTAAAAAAATAACTTTTTTACACATACACAACGTAACAAATAAATGTAAATAGTTCTTAAGTACTTGATAAGAAATAATAAATAACAAAATAAAATATTTTTTAAATATGATTTTATTTCTCTCCAAAAAAATTGTTTGTTTGCTTATATGAATCATATAGGCAATAGATGGCGTTCGGGCAGATTACTTTTGAGTGCTGTGAGATGTATTTCATATTTCCTATGCGCTCTGAAATAGGCTTTGCATTGTATTTGAAAAAGGCGTGCTGGATATTGGTTAAGTGGCTGTGTGAACATGCTATAAACATAGACTAAAGAATATACAGGGTGAGATGAAACCAACTGCAACCAACTTCAGACTGCTGTCATTTATAAGCCACTCATCCAACAGCTGTTAAAATTATTCCAGTGACAGCTCATTATATTGTTTACAAGCGTAAAAAAGCATTTTGGTGAGAATTTTCCAGAAAAAAAATTATTCGTGATGGAATTCAAGCGTGATAGTGTGAGCACTCCAGCATTTAAATGTAAATAAATCTATTGTGTCTCGTACCATCGCTCGTTACCAAGATACTGGTAGCGTAGCCCGACGTCAAGAAGTGGATGGAAGAAAACTGCAACATCAGCAGAAATGGTTCGAAAAGTAAAGAAGAGACTTGATCGAAACCCGAGTCGCAGTGGCCGCAAAAAGGCACGTGAACTGAACATATCGCAATATTCCATTCGTCATACATTGAAAAATGAGCTCGGGGTAAAGCCATTGAAATTTCAAAAAGTCCAAGAACTTACACCGCAACAGAAAGAAAATGGATTCAAAAGAGCTAAAGAGTTGCTTCGCTTGGCCGAAAGTGTTGAACTGCCGAATTTGGTTTTCTCCGATGAGAAAACATTCCTTGTCCAGCAGTTTGTAAACAGACAAAATTATGGTTTTTACTTGCCAAAGAGGTCAGCTGAAAATGTGCCCCTTCGGTTGGCCAACAGAACTCAAGCGCCGGCCATGGTGATGGTGTGGGCCGCCATAACAGCCGATGGTCGCTCTCCGCTCGTATTAATCGACCGTCGCATCAGAATAAATGCCGAATATTATCGCGAAAATATTCTGGAGGATGTATTAAAGTCTTGGGCACGCAAACATTTTGGGCGCAGACCTTGGACATTCCAACAGGACTCAGCACGCGCCATCCAAAAATGGTTACAAAATGAGGTTCCTCGCTTCATTTCCAGCGCACAATGACCATCAAAAAATCAATCTGTTGGACTATTGAGTCTGGGGAATTTTGGAAACCAAGGTTGGCACTAAAAAATACCAAAGTGTCGATTACCTTCGGTAAGCGCTTCGCCGGGAATGGGCCAAAATACAGCAGAGCAACATTCGGGCAGCGTGTGACGGTTTCATAGGCCGCTTGAAGGCCATAATTCGTGCCAAAGGTGACCAATTCGAACAAATCTAAACATATTCTAAAATTTCCAAAAATTTTTTGCTATTTCCAAAATTTTTTGCTTTCATTCAATAAAAATTAAAAAAAAAATAAAAATTATGGCGTTTGACTTTATTGCAGTTTTTTATCTCACCCTGTATAGATCAATACATAAAGACTCTCGCCGTTTATTATTGAAACAATACAAATCAGAAGATAGGGACGACCCAAGTGTCAGTGGCAAATCGAGTGGATTCGTCATACAAATACACACTTGGCCGCACACAAATTCTTGTTTGTTGCGACATCTGTTAGCAACCGATATAGAAAGCTTTCGCCGTCCATATTTTCATTAGCTTAAGACGCCACTTGTTTTGAGGTGATTGTCTTTACTAATTTTCTTAAAGCATTTGGCCACTGCAAAGCTTTGTTATCCCTCCATTCATTAAGCAAAAAGACCGGTAAATACATACAAAAGAGAAATCTACTGACACATTTAAGAGAACAAACATTCTCTCTCACAACAAAAGAAACCCGTGAGAGAGTGTGTCATCCAAACGGCCTAACTGAATGCGCCTAATAGACTGCTTTGCAAAATTTGTATTCGCATTATACTGTTTCGCCTCGAATCGATTGCTTGCTTCGCGGTTGCAATGCAACACGCGCGTGGCACCATTACATTATTGGGAAATTGTTAAAATTTTATATACAACCAACTAACCATACAACAACAGCAGCAGCAGCTACAACAACAACATAAACCACTTAATATGTGAGTGTGTAAAAAACGGGTGAAAGAGTGTGTGAAATTTTGTGTGTGAATAACTCTGACACGGGTGTGTTTGTGATTGTGCACTGTGCTAGAAATTGGAGTGAGTACTGCTGGAGGAGTGCGTAACAAAGTGTGTGTGCGTATTCACCAAATGAAGAAAAAATGCTTAAAAAATTACCAAAGAAAACCCTCGGAAAGTAAAAAAAAATGATAATAAAATCTAAAAATGTTAAAGAAATCCTAAAAATTAAATAAATTTTTTCTAACCCAAACGTCCTGATTTAAAAAAAAAAAAATGAAAATTTTAACGTTTCTTTTTGCTCATGGCTATGGACCTGGTGTATTGTGTGTTAATAATCGATTAGATTTTATTCCTTTTTCGAGTGATGATGAATGAAAATTTTTCTACTGGTGCTGAAAAACGATGTATAAAAAATTCGTACAATTCTATATACATACATACTAGTAAAGTGCAGTTCCATCTCTATATATAAGCATTTATATACATATGTATGTGCCCAAAAGAAGATACGCATACATTGATTGATATGAGTTTGCCTGAAAGTGTGCGACTCGTTGCTCTACGAGAGAGGGAGTGTAGGCAACTGGCCAGAGTGAAAATAAAGGGTTTTTGTTGGTGTATACTTTTTGGGGCAAGCTAGCTAGCAAAGCAAAGACAAACGAAAAAAAACCCAAGAATTGCACTTCAGTGAAACTGGAATTTGGTTGGAATGGATAGAAAAATCCTATTTACTGTTATTCTTTTATTCTGTTTACTGCCCAACAGCAGTAGCTGCAGCTCTGGTATTTTTGTTTCTTTTTTAATATTTTCTGTTAACTAAAAAGTGAATTAACTTCCTGTGATATTGTGCTTCAAAAAAAAAAAAAAAAAAAAAAAAAAACAAGAATCAAGAAATGAAAACTATGTCGCTCTCTTACTCTCACTCTCTTTACACGGCGACTAATGACTCTTAGTTGGATGAGGGTTCTGTTTTTCCTCTTGTTGTTGAATTCTTCGGCTCAGCTCAGTCATCATCATCTATATAAACTTCATCATGACCATTGTAATTATCACAGAGTGCCTTCGTCGTTTTTACCCCGAAGCGTAAAGTTGTTCCAAATTCATACTGATTTAGAGTAGAGTAAACTTTCGTATTGTTAGTGTGCCTATTTTGTTCTATGTGTGCGGCGTGTGTCCGTGCATGCTTGTGGTGCTTGTTGGTGGTGGTTGATGCGTTTATTCATTTGTTAATGGATATTTCTGCACTACGTTACCGACACTTCGAATAAGAATCTTTTCTCTCTCTCTTAGTAAAGTTGTGTGTGCCCGACAGAGATGTCAAGCATAACATTAAGTTAAAAATCACTAGAGAATTAACGTCAAAAAATGTTTGTGAATTGGAGAAGAAATATATAGTTTTGCACAGAGAATTTAATTGGTTCATGTTGTCTGTCATAGTAAAATATTGATTGACATTGTTCCGTAGCTAGATCGACAATTGTTTCGGATTTCAAATGCCAGATGGTTTCTTACAAACAGAATTATATGCTTCTGAACGGTATTCTTACCCAAAAATTTTAAATACAATAGAAGTGGACGATCACATGACGGTAAATTTACTTCTAATTCTCTTCTTCATAGGGATAACCAATATTTATTGGCATTTTCTACGATTTTTTTTAATTTTGTATTTGGTCAAAGATAACACTTACATTCCCAAATAACGCCCTACACTACGTACAAAAATATTCATCTTCCCCACTATGGTAAACTGTTTTAAACTCCCGTATTCCCCAAATACACACCGTCCATATCTTCAAAGCGACCAAGTAATTCTTTCAAATTAAACTTTTATATGTGATACAAAATTCTAAATTCAATTATCCAGAAAAAAATTAAAATATATTTTCCACCAAATTCCAAATAGCGCCTAATTACTAGTAATTCTGGTATTCCTGCAATTTAATACATCTTTGAATGTGTGTATTGGATCAGGTCATGACTAAATTAAATGCCTTCCTGATTAAAATTAAAAAAAAAAACGCCACATTGGCATCTCTGTTATGGAGTTAATGTGTGTGAGAGATAAAAAAAATGGGAGCACATCACAAAAAGAGCGAGAGGGAGAACAGCAAAAACTATGTTCTCAGTGCATTTGTAGTATGAAAACGGGATATTTTATTATACTGAAATTCTTCAAACTCAAACAAAGTGGAGTTAGTTGTCTCACTTCCTCTCATTGAGGGCAAATGACAAAAAGAAAACGGAAAACAGACAACAGTTATGAGATAAGGCATTGCCAGCAATAAAAATTTTGTTGTTTGTCAAAAGTTGGCCTCCTTTTCTTCAGTTTATCATAGGGAATAATAATGGTTGGGTTGAGTTGATATCCGTTTGTAATAAAGAAAAAAGAAAAATTGTTAAAAAATATTTTGTAGATGTCCAAAGGAAAATAATAATGGGAAAACAACAGAAAGAGAAACGAAAATATGTTAAAATGGATAAAATGTTCTAAAAATCTAATTGATAAGATGTGAATTCTTCTGCTAAATCGTCAGCCCAGATCCTGTGAGTGCTTTTTTCACTTCACAATCATCACTCTCATCCCCAACGTTGTTGTCATTGTCATCGTCGCCTCTGCCGAATGTGTGTGTAAAGTGAAATGACAAAATACATATTTTTGTAGCAAAGACGAAACAATGTGGAAAAGTAGAGTCAGAAAAAAATGATTTACACAAGAAAACTGTTATAAGAAGACGTTATTTGAGCCAGAAAATAACACCAGTCGCCCGAAAAGACAAGAAGAATTCGAAAAAAATCGATGGATACTTCATTTACCCATTAAACAATTTCAAGTTCCACGTTTAGAACAAAACCAATTTATTGAAAAAATACTTCTTTTTTCTACTCCACAGATAAACCAATGACCAGAAAAAAAGAATGATAAAAAATGAAAAGAAATCAAAATGTAATGGCTTTATAAAAGTAATGAAAAAAGAAATGGAATGATACAAAAATTTATATGACAAGAATATTAAAAAATATATATATATATAGTTTAAGTGCTAATTGTGAAAAATCCAAAAGCTAAACAATTCGGGTTTCCAAGAAAAAAGTGAAATAAAACTAACAAGCAATGCGTTTATTGACCACCGAAATACAACAACGAGGCTCATAAAACCCACATTTCATATTCAAACTAAAATTAAAAAAAGAAACGTAACGTCAATCATTCAACATTCATACCAAGTAAAAAAAAGTTCAAAAAATTATAAACCACATTCATAAAGGAGAAAAGTGAAAATCCAACATCCAACGTTATAAATTCCATTTCATCATGGATTAGTGTTTGAAAGCATCATCCGAAGAACATTTTCTTCTTTTCGCTATTGCAACTACCGCTTACCAACATCACCAATCATCGTCTCAACGGATACGTACTAAGAGTGAGAGACTCCTTCATTTTCATCTCCAGGTAATAATTTTTGATGTTAGCCTTCGTTTTGTTTTTGGGTTCCCCAAAAAATTTCCATTTTCCTTTTTTTTTTTTGCATTTCTTTGACCCCCTTCATATATGTCGATGCCGATGAGGTCAATAGCCTTTTTTGTTGGTTGGCTCGTTGGCTGGTAATGCTGTGTACGTCTGTGTATGCATGTCTGTCTGTATGTGTGTGTGTGTGTGGGTATTCCCCCGAAAAAAGTGCATTGCTATACTCTAAATATTCTTCTATTTTACATTACATTCTTTGGAGCTGCATGTTGTTGGTTTTCCTCCTCCTCTTCTATCGGCTATATACAAACGAACATTTGTACATACGACGTATGTATGTATGTATGCAGAGTATGTCGTAATATATTCGCATTGTGTTGTTTTTTTAGCATTGTTGTAGTTGTAGGTTACTATTATTGTATACTAGATACTTGCAAATTGTGGGTACTCGAAAACTGCAGTCAATGGTTTTGATTTTGCACTCCCTTAATTTTTAATTGGTTCGGATGGTGGAAAATTATTGTAGGCCTGATTGAAAATCGGTTACTGTCATTGGAGGAACTGACACCACGAAATATAGCTTTTATCACATTTTTGCAAATATTATATAAAGAATTAATTTTTCAAAAATAGTTTTGAAATTCACTTGATTCGTATTCGAGTTTCTACCCTTTGGTAGAGCCATGCTTTATTTAATAATAGTTTAATAAATAATTGTTCAAAAACAAAAAACTCTTTACAGCAATACATGTTAAGGGTCTTTGAGTCGATCTATACATCTCCGCTCGTCCGCTTACATGTGCTTACCAGTAGAACACGATATAATATAAGCGATAAATCATATCAGATATGATGGTTATAAAGTTTCACTTTTCACTAAATTTAATTTCTTCTCCTTTTTTTGGAAGTTTTACACTTAATAAATGCATTTTGAAAAACAAACTTAAAATGCGTATGAGTCAAAACCGTTTCGAATATAAGGATACAACGTTTAGAAAAAACAAATTGAGAGCCTAGGATTACTTCAAAAATTATTGGTGAAAAAAATGGGTCATGTTTCTCCACGCTTTGTTCTAGTCCCTATTTAAGGGTATATCTTAATTCTGAGTATTTTTTACTTTCTCATCATGAAGAAACGCGACTATCAATATAGATCCACTATTTAAAGCTGCCCCCTGTTTTCTATTCATTGCGATTGTCTTGCTTATATTTTCCAATGACTCGCTCCAGGGAATCTTATTCAAAAAATTTTTTAAAAATGTGGAAGAGGGTGTAACTTGACCCCTCTATTTAGGTTATTTTGCGGTATAAACTTTCAAATCGCCTACACATATGCCATCCACTTTTAGCTCCACTCTCATAATTTAATGCGTTTTTCTGTAATATTTGAAAAAAATATTTTTGTCGCATAGTGTAGTCAAGGTATTTCCTTTAAATCATGGGGGGCACTTATGAGTGGTCTGTGCCAAATGTAAAGCGATGTATTCCATTTTTAAACCAGTAAAGAAAGTCCTAAAGTCGGGCGGGTCCGACTTTATGATACCCTACACCACTTTGCTAATTTAGTAGAGCTCCGCATAAAAATTAAAAGTTTTTATGGGAGAATTCAATCATACACGCTATGATTGTAATTATAATTTAAAGTTCAAAGGACTATATATGCCGAAGCATTTGTATCTTTTAATTGGTGCATAATTAATTTGAAATCGGATAAAGATATATATGGGAGCTATATCCAAATCGGAACTGATCTCCATAAAATTTCGCAAAGACATTTCTGAGCTGTATTTGATATATTTCCCTGAATATCGTTGTTACGGAGTGCATATTACGGCTGTGGGTAAAAAATATAACAAATCGGATGAACAATATATATGGGAGCTATAGCTATATCTGAAACGATCTTCAGCAAATTTGGCATACTAGCTTCTAGACTAAATTCGGTCCTAAGTGCCGAATTCCATCCCATTTGGACAGATATTTGACGTTTGGTGCACAATATAAGGTAAATCGGACGAAGTTATATATGGGATATATATCCAAATCTGAACCGATCTCGATAAAATTTGGCACATGTATTTCTGGGCTGTATTTGATATATTTCCCCAAATATTGTTGTAACAGAGTGCATATTACGGCTGCGAAGGACAAAAATAACAAATCGGATGAACAATATATGTGGGAGCTATAGCTATATCTGAACCGATTTTGATCAAATTTGGCATACCTATTTTCAGGTCTAACTTGGTTTTATGTGCGAAATTCCATACTATTCGGGCTGACATTACACGTTTGGTGCACAATAAAAGGCAAATCGGACGAAGATATATATGGGAGCTATATCTAAATTTTGACCGATTATCTCCAATTTCAAAAGGGTTCGTCCTTGGGCCAAACAAATGATTTGTGCAAAATTTCATCTGGATAGGGTAATAATTGCGAACTGTACTTTGTTTACAAAAATACATGGACAGACGGACGGTCGGACATGCATAAATCGACTCAGAATGTGATTCTATGCAGATCATCAAAAGGAACTATGGGTCTATCTCTTTCCTTTTGTCTGTTACAAACAAATGCACAAAGACATAATACCCTGACCACCTTGTGGTGTAGGGTATAAATACATATAGTCTTATGAAGTATTCTTCGTTGCTCGCGTTTAATATTGATATCTAAATTTAAAACAGAAGTACTTGCTTCTGGGCTGAATTCCGTCGGAAGTGCCAAAATTCAGTCCATTTGGGCTGATATTAGCCATTTGGTGCACAAAAAACCTGAAATCGGATAAATATATATATGGGAGCTACATCCTATTCTGATCCGATCTCGATAAAATTTTACGGAGGTGTTTCTGGGCTCTATCTGATATCTGGTACCAAATATCACTCTTGTGGAGTGCATATTACGCATGTGAAAGACTTAAAACCCCAAATCGGATGAAACATATATATGGGAGCTAAGCTATATCTGAACCGATTTTCACCAAAATTTTATGTACTTGCTTCTAGACTGAATTCGGTCGGATGTGCCAAAATTCAGGTCATTTTGACTGATATTGGTTATTTGCTGCACAATTAAACCGAAATCTGTTAAAGATATATATTGGTGCTATATCTAAATTTCTTTGGGCCAAACAAATATTATTTGGAAAATTTCATCTCAATCGCCTAATGCCTAATGCAACTTGCATTTTGTTCACAAAAATACATGGACAGGCGGACTGACATGGATAAATCGACTAAGAAAGTTATTCTATGAATATTCTCAAAAGTAACTATGGGTTTAACTCGCTTCCTTTTCCATGTAACAAACAAAGCACAAAGAAATAATACTTTTAGCACTATGTGGTGTAGGGTATAAAAAACTTGGCATGGAACTCGAAAGTATGAGTAACATATACACATAAATGAGCTTCATTATTAATACGACACACAGTATAGTGCTGCTTCGGCAAAATTATATTTTTGATTTCTAGTTATATTTGGAATGAGAAAGCGGGACGACTAAGGATTATATGTAAGGAGATAATAGGTTAAAGTCTCTACAGTATGAGTACAATTACAATTATAATAGAAACCAGTAAAGAAAGTCCTAAAGTCGGGCGGGGCCGACTTTTTGATACCCTACACCATTTTGCTAATTAGTAGTAGATAATTATTATTAATTATCCACATAACAATTAAAAGTTTTTATGGGAGAATTCAATCATACACGCTATGATTATAATTATAATTTAAAGTTCAAAGGACTAAATATGGCGAAGCATTTGTGTCTTTTAAATTCGGACTTGTATTGTCCATTTGGTGCAAAATTAGTTTGAAATCAGATAAAGATATATATGGGAGTTATATTCAAATCTGAACCGGTCTCGATAAAATTTGGCAAAGATATTTCTGAGCTGCATTTGATATATTTCCCCAAATATTGTTGTTACAGAGTGCATATTACGGCTGCGGAGGACAAAGATAACAAATCGGATGAACAATATGTATGGGAGCTATAGCTATATCTGAACCGATTTCGATCAAATTTGGCAAACTTATTTTCAGGCCTAATTTGATATATTTCCCTGAATATCGTTGTTACGGAGTGCATATTACGGCTAACAAATACTACAAATCGAATGAACAATATATATGGGAGCTATAGCTATATCTGAACCGATCTTCACCAAATTTAGCATACTAGCTTCTAGACTCAATTCGGTCGTAAGTGACAAATTTCATCCCATTTGGGCAAATATTAGACGTTTGGTGCACAATAAAAGGTAAATCGGACTAAGTTATATATGGGAGATATATCCAAATCTGAACCGATCTCGATAAAATTTAGGAAAGTTATTTCTGAGCTACATTTGATATATTTGCCCAAATTTTGTTGTTACAGAGTGCATATTACGGCTGCGGATGAACAATATATATGGGAGCTATAGCTATATCTGAACGGAAAGAGTGAGCCCCACGGCAATGTCCAATTTTTGATTTTTCCGATCGAACATGCAAAAATATGTATACTGCCTTATCTCAGTCCGAGTTCAGAATTTCTTTTAAGCATTTAATTTATCAAAACATGTTTAGACGTCATACAAATTTGTATTTCTTACTTATTTAGAGCATTTTAGTACTAACATTTAGTACTTCCCCTTGTCGTTTTTCACAACGAAAGTGCGAAATACATGATTCTTACGTTAAAAGTATAGAACTTCTTCCTAATAATCACAATATTAGTACATTTTAGTACAACTTGGAATACACACTGTAGTCAGATTTAGAAAATCTAGCAATTGTAAAAAACAATTTTGTTTCATCAAAAAAAAAAAAAAAAAGACAAAAATAACATTTCAGAATTATAGCTTTTAGTAAACATTTTATTGTATGTTCTTATTTTTTCTTGGTCAATTTTTGCAATTCTTGGTTTTGAAGTTTAACGCGCACATGCCAACCTTATTCATTACTTGGTAATTAGGAAATAAGCTATTTTTT